ACCATGACCACGGAATGTGAATTTTAAACAAAATATTTTTCTCTGAATGAGTTATTCCTATTCATAAATGCAAAGGAGTAGAGAAAATAAATATTTACAGCGAGCTAGGCTAATATATCTTACTAATAATGCTATTGTCATGTTAGCTCTATAAGATTACAGTAAATTTCCGGAAAAGTGAAGACTATACATACTTTATAAATAGAGGTTAACCCTTTCCTCCACTGTGCCATCTTTCTATAATATTTTAAGCCTTTGTGACTAAGGATTTTATAATTTTATAGCTTATTTTTGAAGAACTTCTGGTTCTTATTCTGGCAGACGAAAGCTCAACACGGATTAATCTAGTTCAAATGACATTGAGCTAAAGACTAACTTGCCAGATTAAAAACAATCCTCTATTCATTTTTAAAAAAAGAAAAAGAGTTGATTATAAAGCAATTTTTCTATGAAATAAAAGGCCTAACAATTAGGACACTTGTGAAATCCGCTAGATCCCTCCTATTACTTAAGGTTTTTTGCCTTTACTTCTCGATCTTGTACCTAATTAATCAAAGAATGCGCTTTATTATAAAATTTTAATGTAATAATTTGTTTTTTTAAAATTTTGTTCACGTTCATCTATACTTTTATGTAATGAGTATACGTTTGCCTCTGCCGGCAAATTCAAATGTTGTGAATGTGCTTATGCACTCTGCCCTCATCTTCGCCTTTACTTAATAAGTTATTTATGATAACGCAAATTTTATTCATTTATTCATTTAATGATACATTTAAATGGCTGCCACACATGCTCCAATAGGAAAGTCCGAAACGGACAGTGGAGATGATAATAAAATGGAACATGGACAAATAAATGCAGAGGAAGTACTAGAGTATGATCGATATGGTTTCTACGGTGGTCAGCAATATACTGATCCAGAGCGGTTAGTCGCTTTTTTATTTTTATTTTTCAGAGAATTTCGTGTTCCCATCAAAGTTATCCGCTCTAGAGAATTGAAATGGCGAGACATGTTTCTTGACTGGACGATGTGGACCACCAAATATAAGCGTAAGGTTCGTGACCGTTGTCGGAAAGGTATTCCTGATTCAATGCGGTGTGAAGCCTGGCAGCGTCTATGCTGTAGCCCAATGATGTCTTATGTGCGTCCTAAAGCATTTGCTGTCACACCACTTGGCTCTCAGAGGCCACGAAAACTATCGAAGAGGATCTTCAATAGTCTATCCAAGAATGAAAACTTTAGAAGTATGCCGACAATTAACACCGGGTCTCCAAGCCTGCTTGTCCGCAGAGCCAATTTTCATAAAGCGTATATTGATTTGTTTATGCGTTTATTGCTTTGCTATTGGTATTATAATAATTAGCTTATTATAACTATTACTGTTTTGACTTTCTGCATTTTAGCATTGCTCGCGATACTTTTAGACC